GGCGCGGAGCTGCGCGCCCGCCCCGCCGCCGCGTCCCTCCGGGGCACCATGGAGCTCTCGCCGTCGTCCGGAGGAGCCGCCGAGGCGCTGTCCTGGCCGGAGATGTTCCCGGGGCTGGAGTCCGACTCGCCGCTGCCCCCGGAGGAGCTGGACGCGGTTGTTCCCGTCAGCGGGGCCGTGGCCGGTGGCATGTTGGATCGAATCCTTCTGGAGTCCGTGTGCCAGCAACAGAGCTGGGTCCGGGTGTACGGTAAGGACCCAGGCCGTCTTAGGGGCGGGTGTTTCTCGGTTTAGGCTGTAATTCATTCCTTGGTCGCAGACCGATTCCCTATCCCCATTCATCCAGGGTCAGCTTCCCTCATTTGTTTTGGGGGTGCGTTTCTGACAAGTTTTTCAGACTAGAATCTAGAAGAGATGTGACTCAGTGTGGTGTTTGGACTTCTTCAGGCACCTGCAGTAAAGTCTAAGGTAGAATTGGGCTATCTAGACATTAGTCTTAGGTGATTATTTCAAGGTAACTGCCAGCCGATCTTCATATGATGGAAAATGCCATAAAATCAAATGAATGGGTTTTCCCTCTCTTTCTCTTATTGAATGAGGCAAGATTAGAAACCCAGATATTATAAAAGAAAAATACAAACCTCAGCAGAGGATAAACTAATGAATGAAATTTAGAAAAAAATCTAAACTAGAAGTATTTATTTGCTGGGAACAGATTAATCTATAACCTCTTCCTGAATCGCACTCTTAGAACGAGTGTGGATTCTTTCCTATTGCACTGTTGTTTCTGGTTCTCATTGTAACGTGACTGGGTTGCCACTCAGCAGGTTCAAAGTGATGAACGCAGTAAAACTTTCCCTTTCTGCATTCCTTGTAACCACCTCTTTAATTAAGGCTGAATGATGAGATTCTATTAGGGTGAGGCTTGTGGCAGCATTAAAACCATGTTGGTTTTAAAACTCATAGCCCAAAGATTTATAGCTGGGCATTCAGGACTAAGCTGTGGCTTTCCAAAATATTGAACAGACACAATGTTCATCACTTAGGTCACACCACCACAAAAGACATTAGCGATGTGGTGGAATATAAAATGGCAAATTTGAAGCACCTGCGATCAAACATCAGGAGACAAGGTTATTCTGCAGTCATGTGCATCTAAGCCTGTAGTGAGCAAGTACATTATGTCTTCTTTCATCTTTCTGAACAAGGTCTATGTTTACTAGTCAAGAGTGACCAAGATTTAGACATTGTCTTTCTGAATAGTTCGTTTGGTTTGAAGACTTCATGTCCATTTCAGAAGGATCATAAAACTAGGGGTCCAAAGATCTGGGTTTGTGCCTTCATTCTGCCATTAAGTGACTGTGTGATTTAGGACAGACCAGGCCACTTTTTTGGACTCTGATTCCTCATCTCTAAAATGAATAGATTGGATTAATTAATCTCGCATGGCCCTTTCAATGGTAAAAATTCAACAGTTCTTTTTATAACCAATTTTTCTCAAGGATTTACTCATGTACCACTTTGTGTTTTGCCCAGTGTTAATGGTGTTTCTTGATGTTAATCTATTTAACTGGAAGAATTAAAGCAAAGGAATGAGAGGTGATGCAGTCATCTAGTTCATTCTCAACAGATTAGATGAGGAACTTTGGTGCGTGATTTTCCGTTCACCTGCTAATCCCATTTAGCTGTTCACTTATATTAAAGGTTGATGATAATGGGAAAAATGAGTTATGAATTAGAGTATATTGTGTTATGGCATGTTCTGTCTTCCTGTTCTTTGACATTACTTTTTTTTTTTTTAATATGATGATAGAGATAGGGTCTTGTTACTGTATAAATGTGTGTATATGATAATGCAGTATTTCAGTGTCCAGTATTGTCTGGGTTTTTGAGACCTAGTGTTAATTCTCATTCTTTGCATGTAACCCATTTGAATATATGTTCTTGTACTTCCATTTCTACGACTTAATTTGTGATGTGTGTGTTTTAAAGAAATCCAGATATTGGGAACTTTGTCTAGAGTATATAGCTGGGAGTTGCAAAGAGGGTTTTTACTCTTGACTTTATATCACAAATTGGTTGTCTTAACTTTGTGCAAGTAGTTTTAACTCCCTAGATCTAGGTTTCTGCATGAAATATGTTCTTTTTTTTTTTTTTTTTTTTGAGAAGTTTTTGCTATTAGGGTGCATGCGCTCTCCAGAAAGACAGAGAGAGACTGAGAGATAAAAAGCGAGAAAACACCCCCCAGGAAGGATGGGCACACCACAGTCCCTTCTCCATTCTCCTCTCGGGATCTTGGATACTCATGCACACGCACCCAGTGTGAGTTTAAGCCACCGGGTCCGGGACTTGAACCGCGATCGACTACATGGGAGTCCAGCAACATAGCCATTACACTAACTGCTGGTCCCCTCTGTATGAAATATGTAACTGGACTAATTGAGGGATGTGTGTATGTTAAGTATGTAATTTTTTTTTTAGCATACACATAGAAACATACATACTGTGCATTTCTGTGCCAAGTTACAGATTTTCAACTGCACTACAACCTTTTTTTGTCTTCCCTATCAATGAACCAAAAGTTGTTTTTATTTACTGTTTAATACTGCTACTTTCCTTCCTCTCAGGCAGCTTATCCTGGATACTGCTTTGTTGTCTTTAGTTTGATGTAAATATTCCAAAACTGTCCAAGTGCCTTTGGCTATGTAGTTAAAATTGCCTTTCATATGACTGAAAAACTTTGTAGTAAAATTAATAGAATGTAGAAAAACAGTTTGGAGAATACTGTTAATAGTCTTTTGTTTGCTTTTCTTGTTTCTTGTCTGTTTTGTGTTCAAAACCTCAGGTTGTCTTGGGTCATGTAGGTTCTTCCACACAACTTAAAGGGATGTTGACTGTACTCTAACACATTTTAAAGAAATCCAGAGTTTGGGAACACGGTCTAGAGTATGCAGCTGGGGTTAAGAATCTGGATTTTCATTCTGGCATTGCCACAGGTCATTGTCTAAGGTTGGGCACATAGTTTTACTCACCAGGCTCTAGGTTTCTGCATAAATGTGGGATCTGGACTGGTATCTGTGGTCCCTTTTAACTTTAAAGTTGTCTGTTTCTTTGGCTTGTTCCATGGTTTTACCTACAGTTTGGCCTACAGATTCCATCTTGACTCTTGCAGACTGGCATCAAGCAGGTCTTTAACTTAATGCTTTTAAATCATTATTGTCTGAGGATTCCAGAGAGCTCATTTCATCAAAGGGCAAGTGAACTGAGTTTTAAAAGAAGGAATGTTGAAAGCAGATGTGTATTTGTTTGGAATGTTTTCACAAGATAGGAAAACGGGGATGGAGATATTGCTCAGGTCTTGTTTGTGCAGTTTTGAGACCTAACCTAGCCATGCGGGTTTTTAAAAGATGGATGTAGGGACCTGATGGTGGCACAGTGCTAAAGCAGTGCACTGTGAGCTTGACCTACATGAAAGGGTTCCAGGGTTGTATCCCTAAACTTTTTCATCTGGGGCTGACAGAGGCTAGGGGTGGATCATGGTGTGAAGATACTGTTGGGGACATCTCTCTCTTTCTCATTGGGGAAATAAACAAACTTAGAAAAAAAGATAAGATAGAAAGAGGAGTTGTATTAAGTGCTGACAGCTTCTGGCAATGGTTCACATCTTCTGCAGTGTACATGTACTTCATTTGAAATGCAGATGAACATCAGCAAAAGTAACCCCTTGCCCTGAATAGATTTTTTAAATTTATTTTTTAATTTGTCATTGAGTGTGCTCACTGGAGAGACAGAGACAGAGACAGAGAGAAAATGAGAGAGAGAGAGAGAATGAAGAAGCACCCCAGGGACATGGCCACACCCCAGGGACATGGCCCTTCTCTTCCATCCTCCGCTGGTATTTTGGGTAATACACATTTTGGGCCTGACATGTTTTCTAAGCTGCTGGGTCTAGGACTTGAACCATGCTATTGATTATGTGAGATCCAGTCACCTTAACCATCATTGCCATTGACTTGTCCTCCCTAAAGCCCCTTCCCCTCTTCGAATATCTTAACAGAAACTTTTACAAATACTATTTTATTAGTTTGTGTCTTAAAATTTGAAAACTGATCAGTGTTTTGAGTTTGCTTTTAACTGATTTGACTCTGGTTGATAACAATTATATTCAGAAATTTGTGTATTGCCATGATTTGGAAAACTTTTTTGGAATATGTCCTGAGCTTTATAATAGATAGATGTATATTTTGAACACAAATATACATCTTTAAAACACAGCTAAGAGATAATACTTTTGCCACCCTACCTTTCATCTTCTTTTAGTTGTAAAATGTTTCATTTCAGTATCATAAGTTGTGCCCATACCCTGTCAAGAGTATAACGTTTTTCACACTGGGGAGTCAGTCTTATTTATCTTTATACCTATCTTGCCATTCCCTTCATTGTCACAGTGTCCAGCAGATGGGTGACTTGCTAAATAGTCAGTGTCTTGTCGAATGTTGATCCATCTGTCCCTTGACCATTTAGATCTGAACCTGACTGATCGCAGGGGTGGTAGAGTAGCTTAAACAAAGGCATGCCACAAACAGCTAAATATGGATGCAGAATCCAAGAGCATCAAATGCAGAACATTTTTCAGATATTTATAGCCTCAAAGCAAAGTCAATTGGCTGAAAAAGCTCAGCAGCCTAGCAAAAGGAAACGGGAGCGGCAAAGCCAGCCTCACTGTCTGCTCTTACTGGTAAACAATGAGAACATTAAAATTAACTACTTTACCATGAAGGGACAGTGAGTGTGGACACTCTTAGGGAGAAATTTAAGGTAGCAGTCTCTAGGACTCCCTGCAGTAGAGGGCTGCACCAGTCAGTGCAACAAACAGGTTTGTTTGCGTGGGCATGGCTGAGAGTTAGAGGGGAGATATAGTTAGCATACTAAAAGGGTTAACAAGAAATCTTGTACTTTTAGGTATTAACTAGATCAGCAGGACTTATGTAAAATGTTCAGTTAATAAAATGAATAGCATGATTATTATAATTCAGCTGGTTTATAGCTCATTGTTTATTGATGACATAAGGACCTCCTTGAAAAATTTCTAAAGACTGCTGCTATTTCAGCAAACAAAAAGGGAATTAATCATACTGCATACAGAACCAGATAATTCTAAAAATGTGAAAATGAGATTTTTGCTAAGAATTTTTCATGAACTAGGTATTAGCTGATGAAACAGAAGTTTGATCTAGTTGCAGTATAGGA